CATACAGTTTCTCGTACCAAAAAGCGAATTTTATGACATTACGCGAAATGTATCAAAATGTAGCGGAAACTCAGGATGGTGTGTGTCAGTAGCTTACAACTGGGCTAAAATTTGACCACCGCGATGTGCGCATCGTCACAGTTTTTTTGGGGGCAAACCCGTTTGCCATAAAATTTACCAGGGGTCATTGGTATCAATGTAAAGGTAAAGAAGTGGGCTATCACACTGTGGTATTAGCTAACGGGATCCAGTTAAATAGTAAAAAAGACAAGCACAAATAAACTGACCAAAAATTGCTAATGTTTGGAAGGCTGTAGCACTCGCTGTCATTTTGCAATGCACGAACTATCTACATGGTTGTACTGGGCAAATCCTGTAGATATGAAAAAATGTAAACATTGTGTAGTTCTAAGGTCTTTTTGCTGCACTATAGGCAGTTGTTTACACCCATGCAACGGGGTCAAATCGTGACCCGGCAAACGCCGTATCTTAGAGAATAACGCGTTCTACGGTGACCTGCGGTTCGACTGTCAGGAATGATTTCATAGGGTTTTCAGAGGTTTTGACCTTTGGCAATCATATGAGGTCAAAGGTCAACCCCATGTTCATGTCTGCAGGCCTCATCCTGTTTTTGCATAAATTATGATAATGAGCTGGAATTTTTAAACACTTAATCATGCCAAAATATACTTCTGGCTATGTTTAACCAATGTATGTGCAAAGATCACTGAAAGAATGCAAAAGGGAATATAAATTTGCGAGAAACAAAATGGGGTCCATTTGGACCCCGTTCGGTCATTACCGTCACAAAAAGTTCGGGTGTTTGAGGGTTAAACGTCGTATTGACAAGATGTGCGTTACGCGTTTTGTAGTTATTTCTCTATTTTGTAGGATACTACATATATATTGGCCTTAGTACCTAAATATGGGGTCGGGGGTATGACTTCAGTACATTAGAAATATCCGTGTTTGTCTTTGGGAAAGGTTTACTAGCTCTACATGTGATTCGTTCATTTTATTTATCTGTAGTATACGCAAACAGGTAATTAAGAATTAACAGTTAACAGTTTCTTGACATGAGGGACATTTTTCTCTGGTAACTGGTGTATTATTATAGCCACCTTTGTCTATTTCTGGCTTTGTGCGAACTGATTCCTAATCTGGTAATGTTAACTGTAAAGGCTTTGCGCCATCTGACAACAAAGGTATCAGTCAGGTTAAAAACAAACATCTCAATAGAACTACAACTTCTAAGCAGATCGGGAAAACGACCTGTGATAATTATAAGGACTTAAGTTATACATTTTATGTTCCTTGAATCAAATCTACACGAAGTAATAATGATGACCAATCAACATGGGGTACTCAAGCTACTCTACACGATTGAATCTATTCTGCATAATGAAAAATACCCCAAAGCTGGCAATATTAGAATGGTTTGTGCGTCAAATATTGATTTTCCTTATTTTTCCATAATGTCTAGGTTAACCGGTTACCACGCGCAAATCATCCCCATCATCAGCACATCCAACACGATGTTCCTGAGGTTTACATCTGATTGGTTGTACATGCACCCCCTTCAGGGGTTCCAGTTCTCCTACTTAAGTAAGATCTTTGGCTACACTTCTCAAATTAACAAGGTCAATGATATCAATTAGTATGATGGTTAGTATGAACTGTGTTGTTTTCGGTATAAGATTAGTTTCTAGGGTCCAGAAGATGCGAAGGAATTGCAAATTATGTAAATGACGCTTAATTGGCATGGTTAATAAGGAAATTTGAAAATCGCATTGGTATACACTATAGGACTTTTAGTCTGTAATCAATGTAATGTATGGGTAGTGAAACATTAAAAGATAAAAATAATGCAAATGTACACATAATTGTAGATTTGTGATAAATGACAAAGGAAGGAAATCCAAACCTTTACATTGTTTTGTTTCAGGCAGTACTGCAGGTCAATGCTGGGATCCCGGTGTGCCAGCCAATGGGAACAGGGATAACAACAGTAACTTTACATCAGGACAGACAGTCAGGTACACCTGTATAGCCGGGTATCCGCTGAGGGGGACTGCCAATATAACCTGCCAGCCGAACGGGACTTGGAGTGGTGCTACACCAACTTGTGAAGGTAATAAATAAAGTATAAAACTATTGACGTTAGGGTTAGAACCTCTGGTTTACGGTATTCATGCGTACACAGGTAACATTGATCATCATGTTCAAAGTGGCTTTTTTAATGACTTAAACCATTGAAGTTTTAATTGTACAGTATCCCCAGGATGACCAAAATAGCCCGGTCTGTATAAAGTTAACCCAATTCAAATCGTTACGGGAAAGGTCACCCAACGATCAGAGGTGCTTTTAAAGCAGGCCCTCTGTAACTCATAAACTACTTATAATCATCGCATGATCGCTAAATATTCAGATGATTGTCTAATAGTAAAAATACGGTCGTAAACGTCTTATGTAATTGTACAACGTACAATGGGACCGCATTTTAGATGGCACGTTACTGGGTAGACATAAGAATACTTTATTTGCGTTTCTATAAGCAGTGACATCTGTGCTGTGCAGTGTGAACCAGTCAGAACATGGGCGATACGTTTTTGTTGAAATCTCTGTACTTGGTCTACGTAAGCACGCTGTTTTTGTTTGAAAGGAACGTAGTCGTAAGTTACGCATAGTAAGTTATTACTTCTGGTCATGGTAAGGCTAGGTCGCGCAAAGGCCGACGGAACAAGCCATCGTTCTTCACAGTTAGTTGATCACATTCGCGACCCACCAGAAAGTTAACTTCTCACTACAGAAAAATGAAATTTCGCATTTCGAACCAACCGCCAAGCCACAAGAGTTCTAGAAAGTTTTGCTTCCGAGAGAAAGTACCGTTCTACATTTCTGGGCGTACACGTGACAAGAAATGTCGTCGCTGCAAACTCCCTAACCTTCACTTACTATTCTTACAAAAATTGAGCCAATGTCGTATCGTTATTCATTCAATACTTTGACTCCAAACAGGGGATTTTTCAGATTTCAAACCATCCGGAAATAAAACGTCTAACAAAGAGCAGAGAATCTATTTTCTGTCTGTATATAACTAACTTTGATGGAGAAATGCTGATGCCTCCCAAAGGTTGTATTAGAAGAGGCCACTAGAAAACCACGCGGGGTGCGACCGTCACTTGTGCATTAAATTTTATATCAAGGAGGTTCAACTCAGTGTTTATAGTCATTAAAGCACCACAGCTACATTTAAATTTTACAGTCTTCTTTAGGTATCTCTATGATAAGTGTTTGACCGCTAATTGTGGCCAGACTCATGTTTTGATAATGTTGGCGTCTAAATGTTATTCCACGTTCTAAGGGCCCTGTCACATTTCTGTGTATCACCATTGCGTATGAGTTGCGCACAGACATTTTTTTATTCACACAAAGATAACATGGTACAGGACAAAGTGGTGGCGCACTCAAGTGACATGACTTACTAGTATTTTGACGCTTCCACTTAATAAATGAAATATAAAGAAATAACAAAATGTGGTACGGTATGATAATGTACAGAGATGTTAAAAGGTTAATGAGCGCAGTCCGATTCCCCGCCCAAGGATGAAACAGATAAAATGGTAGGACACAGCTAGAAAAAGTTGAAAGAGAATGGTTATTGGAAGCGTTTTGTTGTGGTGATGAATTGTTGAGTTAACGTCAAAATGTTTGAATTTGCAATGGGTGAACATATGGGACTACCACGGAGGAGAAGGAAGATTTTGGCGTTGTCAGACAAAGCTGTAAAGTTGAGGGTGTGTCCTAGGAGCCTGGAGAGTTTGCCAGGAGAACTGTGCGTTGGACGTTGTACATAGGGCAGTGGAGTAAATAATGCGACACTGTTTCGCATTGGCACCCTCAGCTACAGGCTAGGCTGTCGAGTAATCCTCAAGTGAAGAGACTGTGGTTTAGGCTGCAGGTGCCAATGCGAAGTCGTGTGAGGTGTACACATGAAAGACGAGGACTATGGCTTAAGTATTTGAACCTAACAGGCCGAATGGTTTTGAGGAGAACGGTTCGAAAATGACAGTAGTTTAAAGAGCGTGTTCTTAAATCAAGATTATTCCAATGGTGTGTCGAGTATGGGACAAAAGACTTTAGCAAAACGGTTGGTTGAGTAACTAGGAGGTCTTAAGTTCATCTTGTTGCGTAGGTCATATGTACATGATGAAAAAATGGCTGCGAGTAATATTTCAGACAGGTAGTTGCGAGTCAAACCATGAACGATTCTGTAAAATAAACAAAGTCGATGAACATGTCGTCTATCTGATAATGTTTCCCACCCAAGTTCGTGCCGAGTTGACAGGTAAGACGAACCCTTATAGTGGCGCCGGACACGACAAGGGCACAGTGGTATTATATCCGTTCAATGAGTTGTGCTTCCTCACTTGTCGTCCCGTGCCAGATAACGTCACCATTCTCCAGAAAGGGACGTATATATGATGTGTAAAGGGATTCGAGGGTATGGCGAGGTAGTTTAGATTTAAGGCCACTAAAAAGGTCAATACTTTTGGATAACTTGGATACAAGGTAATTAATGTGGGAATTCCATGACATATTCGAGCACAAGATGACTCCAATATGCTTATGGGTGTCGACAGACTTTATAACACAGTTGTTAAGAAAGAGGGATGGGTGAACTAGATGATCGCGCTTGGCTGAAAAGCACATTTCTCCCGATTTTGTTGGATTTAATTCCATGAGCCACTGAATGGCCCATGTATGTATTTTGGACAGGTCAGAATTTAAACAGACAGCGGAATCGAATGGGGTTGTCAGCAGTATGGAGAAGGGAACTGTCATCGGAGAAGAGGAAAGAGGGGGAAACAAGATCATTTACAATGTCATTTATATACTAATATTTTGTTTCCCAGTCGACCATTGACGATTCATACGCCTCCCTCCCGGCCTTTGAAATATGCACATGTTATACCGATTTTAAAAAGGCGACCCACAAGACAAATGTAACTATCGACCTATATCTCTATTGCCCACCCTGTCTAAGGTACTTGAAAAAATAGTTTACAAGCATCTCTATAATCAGTTGATACGTAACAATCTTTTATACCGTCTTAGCATAGACATTTCTGTCGTTCGCACAATAATGTGACGCACATGTAGCGTATAAATAACGAATTCACCGCATAGATTGTATGTGTCATCCGTATGGCGTTCGTATGCATTGCGCAGACCAAGCGTATTTCGGACGCACTCAGCGTATGTCCACCGCATGCCTAACGCACTTCTGACGCATATTCCCTGCTGCTTCCTGCTGTTTCATTCGCAATAGGTCCTTCTCATCATGGGCCGCCCTCAACCCAGTTAAAATGTTTGTTTCCGTTCCGCCCCACGCCCTGGTACAATCGTCCTGTAATCTTGCCAGGTAACTTGTATACCCGTACCCGGACTTTATACAAACACTACAGTTAGACTGTCAAAATCCTTAATGAGATGTCAAGAAATACCTTTCCTTAATAATTTATACAGACAATTGACACTTGCGCATAGACACAGATAGCATGGACACTACAATACTGTGAATTATGATTTTTATTTCGTGTATTTACCACCACAGTTCAAATCGGCTACTTTTATTATTAGTATCCCGCCATCTGTAGATGTAGATGTTACAATTTCTGAATAAATAAATAAATAAATGGATAAATTTAGATGTTTCAGGACATTGAGTTTATATTCGCCCATAACTTTTATGCTCCCACGTGTATTGATCAACTATTTTGTGCCTATTTAATACGTACACTACATATTTTCTCGGACAAAAAACAAAAACAGGCAGCTCTCGTAATATCCCAAAGTACAGGTAACAAAAAGGAATATATTTTGTGTTACATATAGATATATTGATAATATACAGTCTTATTATCATTTCTAGGGGTGGCGGAACTATAGAATATTCAGTGTACCATTTGTGTCGGAACATATAATTGCGTCGAAAAGAAAGAGCGTCGGAACATAGATGCGTCGGAACATAGGTGTGTCGGAACATAGATGCGCCTTAACATAGATGCGTCAAAACATAGGTGCGTCGTAACATAGGTGCGTCGGACATAGATGCGTCGTAACATAGGTGCGTCGGAACATAGATGCGTCGGAACATAGATGCGTCGGAACATGGATGCTTCGGAACATAGATTCGTCGGAACATAGATGCGTCGGAACATGGATGCGTCGTAACATAGATGCGTCGTAACATAGATGCGTCGGAACATTGATGCGTCGGAACATTGATGCGTCGGAACATGGATGCGTCGG